TTCCGTGTGTCTTGCAGTCTAGAATGAGAGTTTCAATTAGAGAGGTGGCACGGTATATCCCAGGGGCTCAGTGGGCAGCGGCGATCGACGACCTCGCCTCGAGAGGTAATACGACCTCCCTCTAGTGGGTAGGCAGGTCCCCCGAGGATTCTTCCCTCGTTACCATGGCAACCTGGACCCAAACCAAACAGCTGCTGCACGTCATATTGTCCTGTACTGTTGAACGTGAATAGGAAGGAAATGATCTCTTTTGTTGTATGTACATACCATGTACTCGTGTATACAACAAAGTGATCTGATCATTATTATGCATGTGTACGTGTGTATATGCACACAGTTACCCTCCCTTCTTAAATCATTTAGGGTTCAATAGCTATATTATATATTACATAAGAGTTTTTAATGTAGCCCTCAAGAGAGTGTTTGGTTAGGTAATATGATGTAATACTATTGACTAGTTTTTTCAGGCCCAGAGCCTTTCCAAACAGCAGCAATAGAAGAACATGAGTTATGTGTATTTGGAACTGGCACCCAGAATAGTGTTTTAAGTATTCAGTCACCTGCTGTTACTTCCTACTTCCTTAGCCTTGCCCCTGCGACACCATTCAATGGCCTGTTAAATATGGTAAGATGGGGTGATTGTATTTGCAGCACCAATGCAGCGTGAATGCTATGTGTATACACACTGTGTACGTTGGGGGTTGATTGCTGGTATGAGAAGTAGTCTAAGGTTTCTCTAATTATGGGACACACGTGTGCCGTCAACAACAGAGATTTGTCTTCCTTCTCCGTGTGTTTGTAAACTCTGCGTATTGTGTGTCATAGGCGTGTCACTAGGCGTGTCCCCAAAGACACAATGGCATTATCCCTGATGTGGTCTCTTCTGCTTTCTGTACGCAAGCTAGCTGGAGACTTTTAGAGTGTGATACGACTATTCTTCAGTTACGAAACTATACATTATACTGACCCACATCATCTCCTTGCCTGCTGTACGCAAGCTAGCTGCAGACTTTTAGAGTGTGATACGACTATTCTTCAGTTACGAAACTATACATTATACTGACCCACATCATCTCCTTGCCTGCATACATAGCTATTATGATTATCGGCCTAATCCACTAGTTGACATGTGGCTTGACTTGAATCTGAACTGTGCTTCTGGGACTCTTCAAGCCTATATCAATGGTGCTGATACAAGCTTCAACACAATAGCAACTGTGAACGCTGCTTTGTAAGACAGTTGATTTTAGCTCAATCGTTTTAACATGTATCTCCTTGTGATTATCGAGGTGGAAATTGAACAATTTGGTTTGTGACGTGAAATGACAACTTACGAAATACCGTTCCCAATTTGGACGTTAAGTTTATCCGTGGAGACTACTATTTTGTTATTTTAGCAATTAACATTCCATTGCTGTATTTCAATCAGCCAATCAGCATCGGCCACTCACTCTGAACACAAACATTTTGACTGATAATATAATTATCGACTACGTATGCAGTTAAACGATGCACGATAATGCAACTAGAGTAGACATTTTGTTGACTGTAGACCAAGGCTGGGAAAGGACTCTGTTGAGTGTGTTCGAGATTCGAGTCCAGTCAGTGGCATCTATTTGACTGGTCCTCCACATGTCACCTCAACAGAAAACGAGGGAAATGACCGGACCGACGGAGCAAATTACGACACTTCTCTTTTTGGCAATAGCTCCGGAAGCGATGCCTTCGACCAGTGTCCTTAGCTCATTGTTTGTTTACAGTTCCTTCTCACGCAAATAAAAACAGGGAGGCATGCAGAAATGTGGAGGAAATGCTCTAGTCCAAGCAAGCCCATAGAATAATGAGTATGTTTTTGTTGATGTGAGGCTGTGGAGTGGGGGAGGCTCAAGAAATGAAAATAGACTGGAATGCGAGGAGGGGCAATACAAGCATTCTTCAGTATATACAAACACGTTTGAATGAACAATAGCTGCGTTTGTGGAAGGAGTAGGGGAAAGTCCACATATGGAGGCGAGCCTATGGAATGCGAGATACAGAGGGATAGGAAATATATTGTATGGAAACACTTACCATACGTGTAGGCTGCAAAATACGTGAACTGCTGCGGCGAATGTGGCGATTAACCTGACCAGTTGGTGTTTATACATCACCTAATGGCCTCGGCAGTTTCACATGACAACTTTGATATCGTCAGCAGTTTCTATGGATGAGTTCCCTGTCCCTCTAGCTTCCACATATCCCCATGCAATCGCAGAACTATAAGCCCACAACTATCAGAACTGAAGACAGCGAAAATATGATCATTTGGAAGGTAGGAAATGGAACTTTTGTGGTAACAGGGAAGTAGTGTCAGTTTAGAGAAAGGGCCTTGGTGTATTAGTAGCTTGATGAGACAACTTTCACTATTCTGCTGCACAATCGCCTCTATTCACATATGCAGGCACATAAATCACAGTGTACTTCCTGCAGGCACAGTTGAAACTTTTAGCAAATCTGCAGGCAACTCTTTTTTTGCTTAATTGTGCTATAATTAAGGTCTCCCACCCACCACATCCCCTTGTTCGTCCTTTACTATCAGGAAAACTCCTTGAAAAAATGCTGCTGACTGAAATTACTGAGCCAAGATTACTAATTGAAAGGGGGGCCCTTGCCAATCACGGGACCCTTCTCTCTAGGCCGAGTGGTTCTTGCATGTTGTGGAGACACACTTACGTAAGTGTGGTCAACGAAGCCTCTGCCAAACGGTGCAGCGAGGACACTCAGTCCTCTCTCTTTCATCTGTTGTGAGTCTCTGTGCCCAAGGCGGCCACTCAAAGAGCCCCATCTGCAAACAGGAGATGGGAATCTTAGATCAGCGAGTGTGACTCACGCCTGTTGTGAATGCTCCGCTGCTGACTCATGTCACCCTATTATGCCTTCGATCCCAGTGATTAGTCTGAGCCGCAGTCGAACGCCTACGACCGTGAGAGGATATATTGGGAACACAATGATTGCATGCACGGCATTGTTTTCGACGAAAGGATACCCGAGCAACATTGGCCAACAAAGAACAGTTGAGAGAGGCCTTATTTGAATGAGAGCTTTTGTCTCCTTTGCTGCCTCTTTCACTGTGGTTCTCATAGCATACAATACTGTAATTCTCTAACGTCGTCGTTCAGAGTTCAGTTTGAGGATGTTTGGTGTTAACATGAACTCTTACTCTATTCAGAATATCCGGTTCTAACACATTTGATCTCTCCTTTTCCTACACCCCCTCCCCCCTCTCGATCCTGGGGTCGCTCCCGTCTGTTCACACCTGTTGACAGGGTCCAATTAACGTTTCCCAGCCTGTTTACCATCGAGCTCATCGCCGTTCGTGATGGACATTAATTGGCGATCATTGAATTTCTGGCATTAGCCGCACAGCTGCTCAATACCTGGACACCTCTGCTGTGTGCATAATTTCTCCTCGAGCCCAGCCCGAAACCATCTTCCAACATCAAAACAGCCTACGGTCTTAAGAAGTTAAGAGCCTTTCAATTGGTGGTGAGTCAATCAATTAGCATGCTGTGTCTCGTTCGTATGCATAGCATGCTCGTTCAATTCTCCCAGTTTGTTCTGTCTAGACGCTAGTTATCTTCGGCTGGGATTTCAAGTGGGCTGGAGGGCGAGTATTGACCGTAACAGGTGGAAGCGTGCTGTGCGGTAATCCCTGAGTTGTGTAAACAGCCGCAGGTATGGGGAGAAGGGGTCATGAATCCACGTGGGTGAGGTTGTAGTGGCGATCTCGCTAATCCGACTGTGTGCATATGCTGCTCTTATCGAGAAGTGGTGCAAGACGTGTGATGAGTCAACAAAGCGAAGCCTTTTGGCTCGGAATACAAGTGCACCTGGACACATGGTACCTTCAGTAACCGCTATTTAACCGCTATAGAGCAAGCTGTTAGTTCAGACAGCTAGTCCTTCTTTCCCACAGTGAGAGACCAGTTGTCAACGTTGAGCTTCGTACCTTTTGCAATATCTCTACTTGCTTACATTTAGATGGTACCTTCAAACTCATGTGGAATGCCAATCACCGTACTCCTATACAAACACCCAAGTACACAGTGAGAGTCACATTGCAAAGTAACGTGGTTCAAATTTCCTTCACGTTCGTATACAGAGGAACCAAACTGACAGTAGGAAAAGGGACTCTAGAACCAGTGGAAAGGAAATTACAAAGAAAGAATCATTGCATGTCAATATGTTTGCCAGCGAAGCCATGACGAACAGCTCAGCAAACCTCTTGTTGTTGTACATAGGGAGTGCTGTGCGCGGCATGTATTGCACGTGGGGGCGATAGTGCAAACACCAGTCGAGTTATGACTGGTAGCGGGGCCCCAGCCCCCAGCGAAAATCAAAATACAAAATATCGTACACGCAAACACTCCATTGCAAATATCTAATTTTTCACAGCTAGTGTAGTATGTGAAAGGACAGCTCACATACAGTGACATCATCCCTGCAGCATGTTATGGACCACTCAAAAAAACATCACATGCTATGGGAGATATTTGGACCACTCATGAATAATGCAATAGTACATTGTCCCTGCAGCATGTTATGGAGATATGGCCATTTGTGCCTCAGGGAACGGCGACAATTAAATAAATTAGGCCAGCGGATAATTTACTTAGCCCATGAACTACACATCAAAACAAGACGTCGATGTTGCAAGATTAGGTCTCTGATGTCTATACGCAGTCTACCAGGCAGCATTGTTACACGCCAGTCAAATTACCCTCAGGACTTTCCACACCCTTGAACTGGTCTAAGACACGTAACAACGCTTGCTGACACAAACTCTGACCTCTCCACGATAATATAGCCAGCCGAACACTTTTCACTCCCACTGTCCCTCCTCTCCCTCCCACAGTCTGTACCTTGACCATTACACTACCATCCTTATGGCGCAGCCTTTCGCAACAGTCTGTTTTAGACTACTTTGAACCTCTTACAACGGGCAGTACGGATAAAAGATAAAAGTTGGATGAACGAAGTGTCTGAAACGAATGCCTGAGCAATGATGTCACTTTGTTTTTGTGTTTTTTAAAACCTGACGAGACAGCAAATTTTGTCTAAACGAGAGGAGTTTGTCATGTGCTGTTGCTACAGTATGACAGTAGATATTGACATATTTACACTTGTGCCGACAGACAGGGAAACAAAGGAGGAGATAAGAAGACAGTAGCTATATAATGAGTACTGTTCATTGCGTCATCCCGAGCAGCCCTTGCAGCCGCAGTGCACACACTCGACAATCTTTCCCTGCAGTGAGAAAGGGGTTAACACAGTAGTGAGAATGGGGTTAAATCACACACAGCATCCGCACTAAAGGGATTCCTCTACATATAGAACTTGGAGTTATCCCATAATATAATGCAATAGCAATATGGGGCAATGTCCTCTATAGAGAGGTGTCCCTTATTTGGAGGGTCCTTTTTCGGAGGTTGCGGCTCACCACTTCCAACTTGCTCTTGGGTACGCGGCAGATGCAGGTGGTGCCAAAGTTGGTGTCCCTCGGTTGAATGCAGCGAAGACAACACAGACTCTCGTAGCCAGGCTGCGGAGAAGAGAGAGGGAGGAGGAAGGTAGCCCACATGCAGGCTTCAAATTAGCAGCTAAAAGAAGTGTAAGACACAGCACAGAAAGTGCACCCGCCAACACCAATTGGTCTTTGATACACAGCCCGAGGGCCTAGACACTCTCCAAATCCTCACTAATTTCAGGTGAGTTTTCGGCTCTTTCAAACATACAGCAGTCATAGCTGCACGTTCGGTTGAAAAACTCACCTTTTTCCATTTGGCAATGAGGTTCCTATCAGCATACCCTTCATTTAGACAGTACTCGTACAATTCTGATGAAGAGAGAGAGAGAGGGGGGGAGGGGTATTCAGGTACAAAGTATGACAATACAAAGTTGGAAGGCACAAAGTGTTACAATATAAAGTGTGATATATAGTGTGTCTTTTGAAGGCCTACCTCTGCTGATGGCCTTCCTCTTGAAGTAAAGCTCGTAGACATAGCGAGATCTTTGATGATGGATTCTGTGAATGAGCAATCATTATACCTGTAACTCATCAGTCTTGGGCTCACTCACTTGAAGATGGGCCACAGAGCTTCCACCTTTCTCTTCCCCTCGTGAGTGTCTGCCTCAGCTGTAGAAAATATCCGTGATAGAAACTCCATTTAGTGCCCACCCAAGAAAGGCGACATTTTCCTCTTACCTTCTCTTAGTTTCGCCTCCAGTTCGTCTAGTGTAGGTTCAATGAGTTCCCAGCCCTCCGGAGGACGCTTTCTTGATCTCTTTACCTTCGGCATTGTCAAAATATGGGTCGTTCTCTCTCTCTAGCGCAGCGACGGCCTTCGTGTTAGAAGATGACGTCAAGGTCAATGTTAAGTCAAGGTTTAAAGTTCATTCATGGGTCACGTGACTTCTTTTCGAGCACATGGCAAATCGAGAGTAGGGAGCCATGTCGAGAGTTGTGTGCAGCAAAACGTACCAGACGCCGCGGCGTCCGTTCGAGAAGGCTCGGCTGGACCAGGAGCTGAAGCTGATTGGCCAGTACGGGCTGCGGAACAAGCGCGAAGTCTGGCGGGTGAAGTACACCCTCGCCAAGATCCGCACAGCAGCTCGTGAGCTCCTGACGCTGGAGGAGAAACATGCGCGCCGTCTGTTCGAGGGAAACGCTCTGCTGAGGCGACTGGTGCGCATAGGAGTGCTGGACGAGTCTCGCATGAAGCTTGACTACGTGTTGGGTCTGCGGGTGGAGGATTTCCTGGAGAGACGGCTCCAGACTCAGGTCTTCAAACTAGGGCTTGCCAAGAGCATCCACCATGCTCGCGTCCTCATCAGACAACGTCACATCAGGTCTGTGCATCTCAGCTCCATCTACACTCCAACTATAACCAGCTACCTTTTGTCTTTCACCTCTCTTTGGTCTCTCTCACACATGTCATGTTTAGGGTCCGAAAGCAGATTGTGAATGTTCCATCATTTATTGTGCGTCTGGACTCTCAGAAGCACATTGATTTCGCCCTCACATCGCCATTTGGCGGCGGCAGACCTGGCCGCGTGAAGAGAAAGAACATGAGGAAGGCAGAGGGGCGTGGAGGAGGAGACGAGGAAGAGGAGGAAGAAGAGGGTTAATTAACGACAGACAATTCTCTAGCCTGTAGTTTCCGATTTACAAGCTCTGTGATCTTTACAAAGACAAATGTGGACGTTCTTTGTGACCTCAATAAATGTGCAGAAACTATATGTGCTCGTATACTGATAGATAAAAGATAGGGTCCCGACAGAAGGTGTATAGATTACGATACAGAGTGTGTACGTGGAGCTATTATTGCAAAACGTGTGTGGAGGAGCTCTATTGGTTCGCCAGATCTTTGCCAGTTTGCACTGCCACATGCTCCAGGTACTCCGGTAGAGACTTGATTTGTGCCGTGGTGTTCTGGAAGAAATGCGAGCTGCTCTGAGACAACAGCCGCAGAGCCTGCCAGGCAAAGTTGGGGTTGTTGATGACCTTGTATTCCGGCTCGATCTGGGCACCAGGATCGGCCTGCTCCACCGATTCGGTGATAAACTTCTGGGGATTTGGGATGAAGTTTCGAGACTTCTTGCGGCAGGCCTCCAGGTTGTCCGGGCAGAGGTTCCACAGCCGAGTCAGCTCAGCGTTTCCGAGATCATGTCTCTGTCTGCTGGCACTCGCGTGTGTCTCCCCCAGGTGTTCCCTGGGTGGGTAGGGGGGAGGGGCTGAGTCGTGTGAGGTTGCCAGCGGCGGTTTCTCGTAGGAGAGACACCCGTCATTTTTCCAGGCCACCCAGTGTTTCTCCCTCATCAAGATGTGGCGGACATAGTCAGTAAATTCTGCTCCCTGCGGTGGGGTTTCCTCTAGTAGTTTGTACACGTTCTCTGTCACCTCTTTAACCCACACCGTCTGGCTCTCCTGGAGGGTGTGAGACGAAGACTTGAATTTCACGTCTCCCAGGAGGTAGTGGAAGAGAACCAGGAGCTGCAGGAGAACGTGTCGACGGAAATGGCTGTCGCGGAGCTGGAGGTTCATCAGCTTTTCGCTGGTGAGGAAGTTGGCGAAATAGTGGGACTCAGAGTAGCCCACAAGGGTCGCCGGTCTCTGGTTCTTTCGGCGAGAGCTCTGCACGTCTTCCAGTTTGAAGCTGGAGAAGGTTCGCAGGACTTCTTCCACGTTTACCGTGAGGACTTTCCATTGCTCGGGGGTGTAGCACTGCGTCGGCTGGCAAAAGATCTCTTGTAGTGCCCATAGCTTGTGGTAGAGGTTAAAGTCCACGGGGAGAGAAGAATCGTCCGATTGCGCGTCGACTTCCATCACCTCTCCCTCGTCCTCCCCGCCGGGCGTGTCCTCCATGACCACGCCCTGCCCCGCCTCCTTGTTGTAGGTGGTGACGTTGTCCAGGTTGAAGTGGCTCATGAGGTTCAGGGCCGATTTCTCCGAGAGCGGGAAAAGTCGTGCCAGAAAGAGCTGGATTCGGCCGCAGAATATGGTGTTCTGCGAGGATGAGAGCCGTCGCAGGAGGTCATTGGACATGCGCAGGAGGAGGTTCTTGCCTGAGGAGTAGAACTCGGGCTGTATCCACGTGGACACGCGGTCCTCCACGAACTTAAACACCGTCTCGCACATGTCCAGCGTAAGACACTCCAGCACGTCGCTGAGGATTATGAACGGGAGAGTGTAGTGGCAGACGCCTTCCTGCGCGGAGCTGATGGCTAGCAGTACCAGACCGGTGCAGCGGGCCACCTCCAGATCCGCGCCGTCCGCGGGGGAAACTATTCCTCCGAGGACGTCACGAAACGCTTGCTCGAGTATCGACTTCTTGTCTCCTTCGTTCGTCTCCGACTCCCGAAACAGCGCCTTCAGGGCCTCCACCCGCCCCTCTTCCTCGGGCCGCCTGATGCACTCGGCGAACAGCTCCCGCAGCTCCAGGCTCCCTGGCTTTATAGTTACTTCATCCATGGTTCTCAATCAGTAGGGCTCTAAATAGAACCACACGACCATGCGACTGTACGCATGCGCAAAACGGCGCACAACGTGCGCATGCGTATTAGCAGTGAAATTTCAAGCAGAACTGTGATAAACACACACACACACACAAGTAAACAGTGCCTAGTGATGGTCTAAGTGGAGAGAGGTGGCCTGAAGGAGGTGTGCGAGGTCCAGCTGTCGTTGCAGCTGCTGTGGGCGGGACCAGTGGGGGGCGGGGCTCAGAACTGCAGAGGCAATGCTGGGGATCTTGAGAACGTTGACCAGTTCGTTTGCTCTAATTAGGAGGGTTTGGTGGGTGTGGCTTTCCGTGCTGCTATCCTGTTGCAGGAGTAAAAAAAATTGTGAGGTTAAAGCATTGGCACATAAAAATATAGACGACTATATTATAGGTATTCGCTTTGCTGAACGATTATGTTGCACGACTTTACCTTGCCGAGTTGGACGATCTTATTGAGACAGAGGAGGGCCCGGGGAATGAGGTCCTGGGAACGGGACGCAATCTTGGCGAGGGAGCTCATGAGAACCAGAACCAGTCGAGTGGAGTACTCAGACTGTCTGTGGAGGTTGAGGGCCACCTCGTACGTGACTGGCTCCAGGGTCTGTGGCCGTGGGTGAGGAGGGAATGTCAGATAATTGGGCAAAGAGAGCGTTTATGAGGAGGTTTTTAAGGAGATGGCATATGGGTAATTGGCCAGACCCAGTGTAATGGTCAGTGAGGTGTCCTTGTTTGAGGGTTGGGGGAATAGAAAGTTGAGTGCGTAATTATGTATTTAGGAGAGGTAATTAGCCAAAATACTGGTCGTGTCCGAAATGCATAGGAGACAGTACAGTACTCAGAAGAAGATGAAGATGGGACAGATATAAGTAGAGAAGTAGATGGAAGACCTCGAAAAGCTCCACCAGAAGTGAACTTGTGCACCGAGAGTCGTAGCCCAAGTGAGTGTACTCTCCGAGAATCCACACCTGAGAATCATGTGACAGTCATGTGACAATCATGTGACAACAGCAGAGCCATCATGAACATTGTTTGACAAGACAATGAAGCGACAAATAAGCAGATGGATGCACTCAGAGAACACGACCCGTGATCATGTGACAACAATAGCTAGTCATGTGACAACAGTACAGCAGCAAACAAAATGCAATTAGGAACAACACCACACAAAAGGTGTATACAACGGAGTTTGTGTAACATACACACCAAGTGAACGTAGCAATGCTCTCCAGCTTGTGTGAGATTGCGCAATGTTCGGAGATATTCAATGATGTCGCGGCAATAATCGACGACCAGTTGAGGGAAGAGACTGAATATGGCCAGCAACTGTTGAGCTATCACCCTGGACAGTGCAATGATGATGCCAGAAGAGAGAGGGAGAATGGAAACAAGTGGAGGGAGAAAGAGATTATTATACTATAGTAAATAGACACAAGGGAAATGAAAGAGGGGGTTGAGGGGGACAAAAAGGAGAAAGTGAGAAAGGGGGGAGGTTACCTTCTCATCTCAGTCATGAAAGAAGGGATGTCAAAGAGGAGGGCAGTTCTCTCAATGAGAACTGGTACAAGTTGAGAGACCAGCTCTACATCCCCTCCATGGAGGACCACCTTGAAGAACATTCTAGAACAACACACACACAGAGGGGGTCTGGTAATGGTAGACTGCAAAAACACTAAAACTCTACAATCTGGACACCATGGGACAGAAGAAGTGTCCATATTAGTGAGGTGGCCTTATTTCACGAGTTAAATAAACTGCTCTTGGGTGAAAGAGAAGGGGCTGTGTACCTGACAAGCTGAGGAGCTATTTGAGCAGCTGCCAGTACTCTCTGGTGATGGCTGAAGTCAGAGAGGAGGAGGTGGAGGTTCCCAAGACGATCAATTGTGTCTCCTCTCCCAGTCTCACTTACAGAGATTGGAGAACGAGAGGGGAATAGGAGAGAGAAAGTAAACGTTGAAAGTGAATCCTCTGAATAGGGACACCTTGGGGGGAAGTCTCCGTTATTAAGAGGTGTCCCTTATTCAGAGGTAGTATAATACACCAATGTAGTAGTGTGGGGCAGAACTGTTCTTTATAGAGAGACGTCCATTATTGAGGGTCGTCTTACATAGGTTTTACTGTGCATGTCATAATGGCACGGAGCGGTGCATTAGCTACACATGTGTTATGTATAATTATATGTATATACCTGCGTAGAAAGTGGCCAAACATTAGCTTGTGGGCTGCGTCCTGGAAACTTGCTAGACAGCGGTTGTATTGAGGGAGTAGATTGAGGTCCGTGATGTTTGGAACTGGGTATGTACGTATGTGTATATAAGGGGAGAGGAGGGGGAGGAGAGAGGTAAGCAAAGAGGCAGAGTTGTTTTGGGTGTCTTACCAGCCTCCACCAAATACTGGGCCTGGAGAGTGGCACTGAGGCAGGGCAGATCAAACAGGGAATGGAGAACCTTTAAAAACAGACACATAGTTTAAGGCTAAATGAGAGAGAAAGAGAGGGGAGGAGGAGGAGGAGGAGGAGGAGGAGAAATGAGGTACAGTCAAACCTCCGAATAAGGGGGGGCCCTTGGGGATATAGAAAGTGTCCTTTATTCAGAGGTGTCCTTTATTTGGAGTCAGTATGGGGCAAAACTAAGTGTCTTTTTATAGAGCGGATTTATCCTTTTTCAGTGGTTTCAGTGTAAGCCCACCTCAGAAGCTGTGGTTGGTGAGATGCAAGCAGGAAGGAGTTGGAGAAATTCAGCGACAAACGTCATTGGTGACCATGCCAGAATCTGACCCACACACAGGGAGAGAGAGAGAGAGAGAGAGAGAGAGAGGGAGAGAGAGAGGCATTGAAGACCCAAATCCACAGGCAAAACCAACCTAACCACACAGTAGGCTCACAACGAACACATTTCTTTCGCAGGAGCCAGTTATGTTTGTATGCGTGTGTCTAGCTACTATGGCAAGGGTTTGTATGCGTGTGTCTAGCTACTATGGCAAGGTTTCCATTTGCCTTGGCAATAAACTGACACACACACATGGAGCGACCAACAGCACTAGGGTGCAGGCATGAAGATGTGATATGGCAAATACGGCAAGGAATCTGTGATAGCTGGCACACACCTTGAGAAGGTTTGGGACGTACTTGGAGAAGATATTTGTGGCATTCATCAACATTTCTGCGTTGCCAAGAAGAAATTCTATCGTATCGTACGCCACGCCCAGACTGTGATCGGGAGGGAGAGAGAGAGAGAGAGGGAAGGTGTGTGTGGAGGTAGAGAGATGGGGGGAGAGAGAATAACCAGAGGTTGCAAAGAGAGAGTGGGGAGTGAGTTCAATTATAGTAGAACCCTTCTCCAACGACACCTCTGAAATGAGGACACTTTTTCTCTTTTTCTAGACAATTCAGTTACAATGAAATACAGAACACTCCACTTTTCCATTGGTGTCTGGATTAGAGGGGTTCCCCTGTTACAGGATAATCATAAAATACGCGCACAAGTTTCATAACACAGTCTCAAAGACTAGACCATCCGAATACGTGTGAAGAGGTGGCATGCCATCATAATGGACTACTAACTCGTTGAATTTTGCAGTGAGGACTTGTCCAAAGTAGGCTCTAATTGGAGTCTCAATGTCGTACATCTCGGGCTGGCCGTGGTGGAGGAAGAAACGAACCGAAGA